AGAGAGAGAGAGAGAGAGAGAGAGAGAGAGAGAGAGAGAGAGAGAGAGAAAGAGAAAAAAAAAAAGAATTGTCTTTGATAATTTCGCTGTAAGAATAACTCTTATGATTGGCATGTTTTTCAAAATCTTAAACTGCTATTTTCAAAAGTATAGTGCTATAAACTTGGATTACAAATTAATAGGAAATACACTACTTCGAGGACCGAAGCAGGACAGATTTATGGTTTTATTAATAAGTTGCCAGATTTCTTGTAATTCTGTCATTTTTTGGAAAGATGTAGGCCTGTATCCTTACCCATCTTTTCATGTTCTTGCTCCACAACCAAGGTTAAAGATATAGCCCTATAGTTCCGATTGAAATAACAATGAAAGCGAATTGAAAAATACAGTTTTTTAAAGGTCTGAGAAGAACTTGTAGTGGTCGGGGGAGAAAAACATGAAGTGCTCGAGGTGGAATTTATGTCTAAGAACAGAAACACTTGAAGGACGTGTCTTTTTCATTTCTTCTTGAAAGACCTTCTTGTTGAATTTCTTCTTGTTTGCATCGTCCTCCTCCTTTGCCAAGGTTACAGACAGAGCCCTAGAATCTTGAGTCCAGGCAAGAACGACAGCAAAAAGGTCCTCTTCCTTGCGTAGATGTAAGGATTGAGGACTGTGTTTGTAACCTGCCTGATATGTTTTATTTAATCGTTTTCTAGGAGGAATGTATCCTCCTGCTCCTCCATGCCTCGTCTTCCTCCTTGCCATGTTCTTCCTTTCTCCTCCTCACACATACACATACAACCTTGCCATGTTATCTTCTTACTCCTCCTCTGCCCCTCTCCTTCTGGTACTAGTCCAGCTCCTTACCATCTTACTCCTCCCTCCCCTTTCATTCTCCTACTTGTCATCTTCTTCTTCCTGCCATCTTCTCCTCCGTCGCACATTCCCCGCGCCTTCTCCCTCCCTTCCGTCCCGCGTTCCATCCCATCCGCGTCCACGCCTTCTCCCTCCTTTCCGTCCCGCGTTTCATCCCATATTCGACCCCGCCTTCTTCCCCCTGAGGTTCTTCTTCCCCGAATCCCCCACCCCTCGCCTTCCCCTGTTCCTTCCCCCCCAGGTTCCCCCCTCGTTCCTTCATGCCTCCTCTTGCTCCTTGCCCTGTTCTTCCTTCCTCCTCACACATTTACACACAACCTTGCCATGTCATCTCCTTCATCCTCCTCTTCCCCTCTCCTTCCCCACTACTCCAGCTCCTTACCATCTTGAAGTTCCTCCTCCTGCCATCTTCTCCCCCTCCTCCTACTTGCCATCTTGTTCTACCTGCCATTTTCTCCTCCTTCCCACATTCCCCGCGCCTTCTCCCTCCCTTCCGCCCCGTGTTTCATCCCATCTTCGTCCCCGGCTTATTCCCCCTGGGGCTCTTCTTCCCCGAATCCCCCGCCCCTCGTCTTCCCC